CATGCACTTTCAGAGGGGCGGATTACACCCATCTGTAACATATCCTGGATCTCCCGTTCTATAGCAGTTTTAGCTTGAGGAGACACCCGGTAAGGTTGGACCCTAATTGGGTGAGCATTACCTGTGTCAATGGAGTGGTATGCCCGTTCAGTCAGTCCTGGGGTGGCTGAGAACGTTGGCGCGTAGCTAGTGCACAGCTCCTGGATCTGCTGTCGCTGCATACGCCCAAGGGTCATGGAGAGGTTCACCTCTTCCACACCACCAGCACATTTCCCTTCGTAGTAGACACCTTCAGGCCACTCAGCGTCGTCTCCTCCCTGGGCTGTAAACTGACAAACCTTTAATTCTCTGGAATAAAAGGGCTTTAGAGAATTAATATGGTACACCTTAGGCTTTCGGTTGGAGGTGTGGAATGCTATGAGATAATTAACAGCTCCCAGGCGCTCCTGGACCATGAATGGCCCTTCCCACGATGCTTCCATTTTATGGGCCTGGAGCGCCTTTAAGACCATGACCTGGTCTCCTACTTTGAAGGAACGCTCTCTGGCATGTTTATCATACCAGGCTTTTTGCTCTTTTTGAGCATCCTGTAAGTTTTCTCTAGCAAGGGCTAAAGAGGTTCGGAGGGTGTTTTGTAGGTTGGTTACAAAGTCCAGAATGTTATTTCCTGGAGAAGGTGTAAATCCCTCCCATTGCTGCTTCACCAACTGCAATGGCCCCTTAACCTCACGGCCATATACAAGTTCAAATGGGGAAAACCCTAAACTGGGATGTGGTACAGCTCTGTAGGCGAAGAGCAACTGCTGCAATACTAGGTCCCAATCATTGGAGTGCTCATTTACGAATTTACGTATCATGGCCCCCAAAGTTCCATAAAACTTCTCCACCATGCCATTTGTTTGATGATGGTAAGGAGTGGCAACCAAGTGATTTACCCCATGAGCTTCCCAAAGGTTTTTCATAGTTCCTGCCAGGAAATTAGTCCCTGCATCTGTGAGGATGGCGGAGGGCCAACCTACCCTGGCAAAAATGTCTGCTAGTGCCTGGCACACACTTTTAGCCCTGGTGTTGCTTAGAGCTACTGCTTCAGGCCATCGGGTGGCAAAATCCATGAAAGTCAGTATGTACTGCTTTCCTCTGGGTGTCTTTTTCGGAAAAGGACCCAGAATATCCACAGCTACTCGCTGAAATGGAACTTCAATGATGGGGAGTGGTTGTAGAGGGGCTTTGACCTGGTCTTGGGGTTTTCCCACTCTTTGGCACACCTCACAAGACTGGACATAGGTAGAAACATCCTTGCCCATTCCCTCCCAGTGGAATGACCCCCCCCAAACGGTCTTTGGTCCTGTTCACCCCAGCATGGCCACTAGGGTGATCGTGGGCTAAGCTCAAGAGCTTGGCCCGGTATTTAGTTGGAACTACCAACTGTCTCTGAGGATGCCAGTCTTCCTGGTGTCCACCAGAAAGAGTTTCCTTGTATAAAAGTCCTCTTTCTACAACAAACCTGGATCGATTAGAAGAGCTGAGAGGCGGTGGGTTGCTCCGTGCCGCCGTCCAAGCTCTCTGGAGGCTTTCATCTGCTTCCTGTTCGGTCTGGAACTGTTCCCTTGATGCTGGAGACATCAGTTCCTCATGGGATTGTGGACCTAGGCTTGGTCCCTCTGGAAGCGATATAGGGGATGGAGCTGTTTCTGTTGACTGTGAACTGCTCTCCGCTGGTGCACTATATTGGGATTCAGGCTCCGGCTGATAGAAGTTTCCGGAACAGAGCTAGGCCTCACGGCTTGTTTAGCCTGGCTGCGGGTGACCGTTCCCACCCTCTTGGCCTGCTTCACATGATTGGCCAAGTCTTCCCCCAACAGCATGGGGATGGGATAATCATCATAGACTGCAAAAGTCCACATTCCTGACCAGCCCTTGTACTGGACAGGCAACTTGGCTGTAGGCAAATTGAAAGAGTTGGACTTGAAGGGTTGAATCGTCACTTGGATCTCTGGGTTGATTAAATTGGGGTCCACTAAGGAAGCATGGATAGCTGACACTTGTGCTCCGGTGTCCCTCCACGCGGTGACCTTCTTCCCGCCCACACTCACAGTTTCCCTCCGCTCCAAGGGTATCTGGGAGGTATCTGGGCCTGTGGACCTCTGGTGTGATTCCGGTGCAATGAACTGTAATCTGTTGGGGTTCTTGGGGCAGTTGGCCTTTACATGCCCCAGCTCGTTACATTTAAAACATCGTCCAGCTGACGGGTCACTGGGGCGAGGAGGGTTGCTGGAGAACGGGGTGGTGGGACGATAAGGGGTCTGGAGGGTTCTTTGGGAGGTAGGTGGGGCTTTGGGCAGCCCCCGGGAATAGGGTGTGGTCTGGGGTGGTCCCTTCTGGTCTCCGCTCCATCTGCGACCAGTTTTCTTCTTCTCTGCCACCTCCACCCATCTGGCTCCAATCTCTCCTGCCTCGATTACAGTTTTGGGTTTCCCATCTAGGATGTATCTTTCTATTTCCTCAGGAACACCCTCTAAGAATTGTTCCATTTGCATTAGGAAGGGCAAATTTACTGGAGAGTCAACACTTGCTCCTGATATCCAGGCATCCCAATGTTTCACAATGTGGTAGGCATGTCGGGTAAATGACATGTCTGGTTTCCACCTTAGGGCTCTGAACCTCCGACGAGACTGCTCGGGTGTTATCCCCATTCTGACTCTCGCCTTGGATTTAAACAGTTCATACTTGTTCATGTGTTCTTTAGGCATTTCAGCTGCCACCTCAGCTAAGGGTCCACTGAGCTGCGGCCTCAGCTCTACCATGTATTGGTCAGTAGAGATGTTGTACCCAAGGCAGGCCCTTTTGAAGTTTTCTAGGAAGGCCTCAGTATCATCACCTGCCTTGTAGGTGGGGAACTTTCTGGGATGGGAAGTGGTACTTGGAGAAGGATTGCTAGGGTTTGTTGGGATATTCCGCTGAGCCTTTATCTTCTCCACCTCCTCCACATGCTTCCTCTCTTTTTCCTTCTCCTCCAGTTCTTTGGCCCTTGCTTCCATTTCTTTGTCCCTTGCTTCCATTTTCAGCCGCATGAGTTCTATCTGTCTTTCATGTTCCCTTTGTTTTTCCGCAGCCTGAAATCTGGCTAGTTCCAGCTTTTGTCGAGCCGTGGATTTTGTCATTCTAACCTCTCTGTTTTTAACTAACTTTACACCCAAGGTTTAGAAATAAACAACCAAAACTTGGCTGTAAAATTTTGCTGTGCTGGAATAGAATACCTATTCTCTGATAGTGATTGTCAGCCTACAGAAAAAGACAATTCCCTTGTCTCTGCTCTGGACCCAAATCAAAGCAAAAAACCTCCAACTACTTGGAAACCTGCTTACCAGCACCCAAAGGAAAAAAAAATTCCTTTTCAAACCTGTGCTCCTTGTAAAACAAAAAAATCAAAATCCTAAAAAAAAAACCTTGCCACTTTTGTCTCCAGGCAAATGGGTAGAACACACACCCCTATTTACTTTTAGGAAGAAAAGAAAAAAAAAACTCCGGGTTGGAAGACTGTGAATTTCCCTGCAGGAGTTAAGTACCCTGCCTCCAGGCAAAGAAAACCTGCAATTCACAAAGATAATCCCCTTTTGTCTCTGCTTGGCCACAAAGCAGAGAAAAACCAAGCTGCTTTCAGTTTCAGCTGCTTTCTGGACTTCCTTTCCAAAGGAAAAAAAAAATTTCCTTTTTAAAATCTGTATTTCTAGTTCAAAAAATCTCAACTGGATCTCAAAATGATTTCAGGGTAATCCCACCACTATGCCACCATGTCAAGGTTCCTCCCCCACTCTGAACTCTAGGGTACAGATGTGGGGACCTGCATGAAAAACCTCCTAAGCTTATCTTTACCAGCTTAGGTCAAAACTTCCCCAAGGTACAAAATATTCCACCCGTTGTCCTTGGACTGGCCGCTACCACCACCAAACTAATACTGGTTACTGGGGAAGAGCTGTTTGGACGCGTCCTTCCCCCCAAAATACTTCCCAAAACCTTGCACCCCACTTCCTGGACAAGGTTTGGTAAAAAGCCTCACCAATTTGCATAGGTGACCACAGACCCAAATCCTTGGATCTGAGAACAATGAAAAAAGCATTCAGTTTTTTACAAGAAGACTTTTAATAAAAAAATAGAAGTAAATAGAAATAAAGAAATCCCCCCTGTAAAATCAGGATGGTAGATATCTTACAGGGTAATTAGATTCAAAAACATAGAGAACCCCTCTAGGCAAAACCTTAAGTTACAAAAAAGATACACAGAAATAGTTATTCTATTCAGCACAATTCTTTTCTCAGCCATTTAAAGAAATCATAATCTAACACACACCTAGCTAGATTACTTACTAAAAGTTCTAAGATTCCATTCCTGGTCTATCCCCGGCAAAGACCCAGCATACAGACAGACACAGACCCTTTGTTTCTCTCCCTCCTCCCAGCTTTTGAAAATATCTTGTCTCCTCATTGGTCATTTTGGTCAGGTGCCAGCGAGGTTACCTTTAGCTTCTTAACCCTTTACAGGTGAGAGGAGCTTTCCCCTGGCCAGGAGGGATTTCAAAGGCGTTTACCCTTCCCTTTATATTTATGACACCGTCATAAACAGATCCACAGTATAGGCTATCTTTATGCTTGTTGCCCTCTAGATGGTCTGGGACTCATGGCACTGATTCAGCCACTCCAAAGAGTGGTTGGAGAACTGAAGCAGCAGTCTCAATGGAAAGCACTGCCTTTTAAAATTTATTTCACATAACAAATATTCATATTCAGGCTCTTATGGCCTGGACTGGGTTTTTATAGAAAAATATTTTCTTCCACTCAAAAAAATATACAACAAACACTTTACCAATGAGGTTCATAGTATTATACCATACTGTTATGGCAAAATATTTGCTGAACTATGATATGTCAGTCATTACAGATCACTGGTTCAGCTCCTGGAAAGTAATGAAATCACAAACTACCCTATCATATTGTTCCATTTACCTTTGTTCATTTCTCAGTTTAGTGGATCCAACTTCCATCGCTATAGAGTTGCATGATTCATCTAGGTCCTCTTCACAAGACTAATTAAAAAATACACACACAGAGGGAGAGGGAGAGAGAGATTAGCTAAACAGTTCAAAAATATATCACCACAGTGAGTGAAAAACTGGACAGATTACTTTTGTGTGACCTCTGTACAGTTGGAGCCATCAGAGGAGAAATACTAGGAACATTTATTTACTTTTGGAAAACTGAACTTTCTATGGATGGACTGTAATCATTAACAATATACCAAAACAAGTACTTTAATTATATTTCTGATGATCTACAGTATCCCATTTAAGTTTGAAGTCTAGCCAACTCAATTTTCTGTTTAGCTCTTACTAATTTGAAAATTTAATTGCTCAATTTGTTTAAAGGATACAGGATAATTAAAGTGAACCATTTGCACTTTACTGTAAGAAACATATACTTACATCACTGAGTACCTCAATTTTCAAAGCAGACCCAAGGTTCTCAGGAACCGCGTAAGACTCTTCTGCTCTAAAGAGAGCTGTCCAATATTTTTTCATATCTTCAACTGGGAAATACAATTAGAGTAGTGCATTCACTTTTATTTTAATTTTTAAAATATTTTTATGTATTAAGTTACTGGGTTGGGGTTTTTTGGAGAGTGGGGGGGAGGCCATTTTGTTATTTTAACCACCATAAGTTTCCTTTGTTTCCTGACTAACCACATACATCTTCAGGAAAGAACAATCTACTTGCAGTTGTTCAGTGAATATGGATATGAGAAAGAATTGTAAGGAACTAAGATTTAATAGACTCAACTAATAGAAGTCCAACAAACCTATTAAATAATCATCATCATCATCATCTCCTCCTCCTCCTCTTTCTCCTCCACTCAGAGCATCATCAGGTACATTCATCAGTTCATGCTTAGGTCTGAATTCATCTGCTTGAATACCAGATATTTGATTAACTGGCATTCTTAAAACAAGAAGAAAAATAGGAGTTAAGTCTTTAAAAGTTACAGTATTATTACTATCACTCTCATACTATTACAGTGAACACTGACACTTCTTACAGACACTGAAGTTTGGGCCTCATCATGCAGAGCTGCTTGTGAGAAAGGCTGAACACCCATGGCTTCCATTGACTTCTGTAAGCATTGATGGTACTTAGTACATCCCAGAAACAAGGGATAACAAAATTATTGCACACCCTATATGCTTCAGATAATGTATTCTTACAGTAGTAAGCGCCATAAGAGTGAGCTGAAACTCCTATACTTTTTTGTTAATAATACCATCAAGTTCTACAAGAGGTTGTTATTTTTGTATTGACATTGAAGAAAATCTCTCTAAAATAATTCCAAAATAACAATTCATCAAAATATGGACATAATTAGTAATTTATTGTACAGGAAAACAAACAACACAATCATCTCATTTAAATTTTCCAATATTGAATATGTTCTCAAATATTCAGATAAAATTGCTTTAGATTGCTCATATTAACAAATGCATCTATTTCTGCATTCTTTTATTAGCAGTGTGTAATTGAATGACTACCTTCTATGCTTCTTAAGCCACAGTTTCTCCATATAGTTCAGGCTTTCTTCTTTGAATTCAATTTTAACAGGTTTTCTCAAAATTGTGAGATGGGTCTGTACCTCACAAACTCCCATGGATTCTATAAGTATAAATAGAACTGTAATATATATCATTAAAATATGTTAACAATATGCTTTCCTTTTTTAAACTATAAAATTCATTTTAATTAATAGTACATCAATAGTCTATGCTTGGTTTAGATGTTTGCTTATTCATGAAATTTAAAAAGGTTAATCTCATATTATTCATATTCTGTTGAGAGAGTTATCTGGAACTTGTGGCCCATATGAAAAGTGAGTTTACAATCTAATTTGGATTGATTGGATTTGTCTGAAAAAAATTCATACTCTCTCTCTCTTAGGGCTAAATCATCATACCCTGGGCGAAAACAGGCTTTAAACTGAAGATTTATTCAGAGTTGGGTAGCTGACATCAGCTGACTTCTTCTTCTGCTCCTTAATTGGTAGCAAACAAATTGGAAGTTAAAAGGATATATGTAAAGATTCCACTGACAAGCAGTAAAGAAGAACTGTACAGTTAAGTTTTTCTCGTGCCTAATAAAAGACAAGGAACTAACTGTTTAAGACAATGATATATCCTTCAAGATATGTGCATTATCTGTACTATGTAAGCTTGCTAATTAATTCTGATGGTCATGTACCTGGAGGTCTGAGACTTCAAAAACAGATTTACATGGGATAACTGAGTGTCCAGATTGATCTGTAAGACCCCAAACTTGCACACACTTATGTCTTACTTTTATGCATTGAAAGCAACTGGGCTGCTCAGATGCATAAAGTTAAGCTCATACACATTTGCAGGATCAAAACCCATAGATTTCCAAATAAAAACCCCAAATCATAGGAAAAGGTATTAGTAAAAGTGCAAGATTATTCTAAATGTATCAAGTAGCAAGCCATTTATACTTCAGAAAAAGAGAAGACAGCAAACTGTCATCCATATACTAGTGGAGATACAGAATATCCTGCACAAATCCAAGGAGACAAGATTTTGTTTCATGGTTCATGATTAAGAGACCACATCTCTTCATAGGGAAGGAGTCAACCTGATACTCAGAGATTGATGCGGATACTCAGCTATGAGAGAAAAAGAAAATGCACTAAGATGTAATGTACATAATCCTGAGGCATGTGCATTGCTCACCTCAATAAACAGGCAGTAATCTTTAGACTTTGAATTTACAGTATAGAAATCTCAGGTGAAAGCAAGAGACCCAAGACCGGAGAGGTATATGACAGAAATGCTTTGAACTCTTAGCAAGTACCTTTGATCTGAATATCTGAAAAATCTGTGGCAGCTAAATCTTATTAAATTATTTTTACAGATTTCACTGAAGAACAGCGGTTAAATGACTTGCCCAGGGTCACAGAATCAGAAATAGAACTCTGGTCCCCTGCACCACCAGTAAACAACACTGTCTGTATACTATTCCACTATTCTAAATAATAGAGAGAATACTTCAAGGAAAATATATTCACTTCCTAGAGAATATTATCTTCACCAACAGTGTCTTAGAAACAATTCCAAATACTTACGTCCCTGTTTGCAATGTACATAAAAAGGCTATAATATTCCAACAATATAATGCAGCCTACCTGAGCAAACTGAAGTTATATTAACACAGATTAACCAGCATTCAGAGTGCTTCAATGTACAAACAAAGGCACTAATATTCATTTGGTGTGTCTCACATAGTGTATACTTGAGGAACACCATATAACCATCACAATAATAGTATGAAAAAAAACACACACAGTAACATTTGAAAAATATTCCAGAAAGTACAGACTTGCTAGCAGTATGTAAATGAGCTGTTTACTTATTTATGTACTGTTCTGTGCAGCACTCCATTCTGGTCTTCATTTGGTTCTAGGGAGCCCAGCATCAGTTTCCCTTCGTGCCAGAGCTCCTCAGTAAGTCCAGCAAGGCCTTTGTCACATACCAATGCTCCTTCTTAAGGACTAGTTTATCAATGTACAATCTGCTCAAATACAGCCTCTTTCATCCCAGACTACCAAAAGGTACATCTCCTCCCTTCCTTTCCTCCTCCTACTGCAGCTTCAAATAAAGTCTGTTTCTGAGGTCTTTCACTTGGCACACGCCCCTCCTTTGTGAGGTTTGTCTAACACAGCTACTTTCTTATTCTCTCTCCTGTCAGAGTGCTCTGGATTACTCAGGCTTGTTTTCTTAAAACCTGTGCTCTCTGGATTCTGGGCCACACCTCCAGAAGGCTTCCCCAATTACTTCCCTCAGCAACCCTTTCAGCAGCTCAGCCCCAGCTTGAACAGTTCCTCCCTGCCTTTTTGTCCACTCTTCCCGGTCTTATAGAGCCTAGGGACCTTCCACTTCAATCAATCAGCAGCAGTTAATCAGCCAGAAGCCTCCTCTTTCAGTTAATTGGGCATCAAGGAATCAGTCACACTTTCACCCTCTGACACACATTTTATCAATCTATTTGACATATTGTTAAATCAGTGCAATGGGTGGAAAGGAAAAGATTTACTATCTAAGAAAGAGGCATACAGTTTGTGTCATGAACTATGTCACCTTCCAGTAGCACGGTAATCAGCTGGAAACTTAGAAATGGTCATTTTAATAAAAAAATTATGAATTCATACATTACTAGTTGATACTGTAAAGGCTGATATATGTTCATCAGTACATAAGCCTTGAGAATATGCACTATTGATCAAAATGGGTTCAGTTTTCTTTTTAAAAATGTATTTAGCAGAAGCTAATTCCTACCTGGTTGAGCCTCATCAGAGTTCTGTTCCTTTGTGTATTCATGACTTCCATTTCTCCATTGAGTTAAAGCTTCTTGAAAGGACTCTGCAGATTCTTCCTCATCAAAAGTACCATACAGTAATAACCCACCATTCTGATTCTCAAAAACTGCCCCTGTTGGTACTGTGGAAACTTCCTGAATCAATTTCAGGAAAGTGATCAATCAAATATGTCCTAATGGCAACTGTCTTCCCCACCACACACACAAATACCTGATGACAAAGGATTAATGGTTTCACATCTTAACTGCTGAAGGGATTCAGTTCTTTGATGTGGTCCCCTTTCTTATGCACTACATTTGGGTTAAACTGTGATCAAGATAATTCAAGGCTATTTTCGGAAATCGCTCCTTTTAGCCAGATTGAATTGAGATGCCCCATCAACAGAGCTCTAAGCCAGACTACTAAACAAATGCATGAAGGGATGCAGACTTACAGCCATAGAGTTTAAGGCCAGAAGGGACCACCAGATCATCCAGCCTGACTCAGTGTATATCACAGGCCACACGCATACTAAATTCAACTAGGAATGAAAGCAATTTCTAAATTATCACTACTATTAAGTAGTACTATTAAGGCCATTCATATATTAGTGATAAGTATAAAATAGTTTATTATTAAAAGAAAATAGTTAATTCTAATGCTACAGATGTAATCTGCCAAAAGTCCAATAGAATCAGGGCTTGTTTAATTACAAGCAAAGCAGTAGCAATCTGAGGTCCTGCATCTCAGACGGACCACATACACAGACATGGATCAGAGGGGTGGATCAAATGGATAGCCTGATCTGACTTTTGGCAATTTGTGGCACCAGAAATCACAGGACCAATACACTTTAAGGAATTATGAGTGTAAAAATTGAATTTTCTGTTGTTTTACAGGAACACACACAGCTCACAGAAATTCTTCAGCCTACCTCAGCATTGCCTGTTGACATTAGCAGAGATGAAGAAATGTCTGACATGAACTGATTCTTGCTATTTGCTTTCTTCTGTTCATGATTCTCTTTGGATTCATCAGGATTAAAGTATTTCATGAATTGATGGGTAGCTTCTAATTTTCCAACTGATACACGGGTTTTTGCCTACAAACAATACAGATCACCAGATTAATTCAAAATAAACACACACACTTTCCACTAAACAATGCTCAAATTACAGAGGCAAAAACAAAGAAACAGAGCAGAATACAGAATGATGGTGGACTGAACACATCCTATCTTCAACAATCTGAATCAAACCGAATATCCACATCAGACAGGAATGTAAGAGACTACCAGATTATTTAATGAATATGGGAGATAATCTACAAGTGCATGTCATTTGTTAAAAGAACTTTATAATCAACATGCTATAAAATTTGTAACTAAGGAAGATCAATCAGATATTGGTTAGATTTTGTCTTCTTTAAAACTGCAGCTGGAGAGACCCGTAAGAGATTAAGCTGATTTAAGTAGCTCAAAGAAATTCCAAACAAAGGCTGGAAGTAGCAGGTCAAAGGCTGGAAATAGTTCTTAGATGACAACACCAATTTTTAATCACATTGTTGTTTGCATTGTTGTTGTAGCTGTGTTGGTCCCAGAATATTAGAGATACCAGGTGGGTGAAATATTATCTTTTATTGAACCAACTTCTGTTGATGAAAGACTTAAGCTTTCTCCAACAGAAGCTGGTCCAATAAAAGATATTACCTCACCCACCTGATCTCTCTAATTCCATTGCCACTTTCTTTTATTCCTCTGCAACTTATGTTAGTATAAAGCAAACTGCTCCATAAATTTCATCTTATGAGGTTCTAATTGCCCATACTTGAATAATTACCTCAATGAGAAAAGGTAAAACCAAAGAGAATAGAAAAAAGAATGCAAATCTCCTCTCTCCATTTGTCCTGTGGAAATATTTTGTTTCAGAGCCACATTTAGGATCTAGAAAATACAGTGGACATAAAGTGCTAAGTAGAAATACGTATGATGCCACAAAGGTCCCTGTGTTTCCCTCCTATGTAAAAATATGCATAGAAGAAAAAGCTAATAAGAATACTCCTTGGGTCTCAGAACAAGCAAGAATGCACACAGGAAGAGTGGCCAGAAAAAGCTGAAGAACACAGAGATCCATTGTAAACCTAGGCCCAATCACTTTGGCTCTGTGACTTCATCCACTCCAGGGAACTCCCTCTAGCCCCATCTACCTATGACAATACAGTTGATCTAGTATCCTTGCTGTCACTGGCTTGCACCTCCCATACCATATTCTACGACCTTCCAACAAGTATGCAAGAAGAGTTAATGTTGCTTCAAGCTACATTCGCTTTTTGCCATTTTGACTGCATATATTCTACTCAGATTCTTATCCCATAATTCTCAGCATGATATGGTGGGGGATACATTTTCCCAGGGGAAATATACTACTTTGTTGTGTCCCCTAGTTCTGATTCCCCACAACTACTGGCAACAATCCATGTCGGCAAAAGATCGCTAAAATACTTGGAGACCAGAAGCCACATATTTAGAGAGAAGCAGGAGACCTTCTCTACATATTTGCATTTCCTCTTGGCAGGGTTCCTTAAGGCATTTTATGCTCATTTGCGTCCCTCCAGAGGTAAAGTATAAGGCCAAAGAAAATGAGTTTGGTGCTCTCTAGTCACTTTCTATTTGATTTTTGACCATAGCATTCAGGTGAAACTCAGCAAGACTAGTTTTAGAGTAACAGTCGTGTTAGTCTGTATTCGCAAAAAGAAAAGGAGTACTTGTGGCACCTTAGAGACTAACCAATTTATTTGAGCATAAGCTTTCGTGAGCTACAGCTCACTTCATCGGATGCATACTGTGGAAAGTGTAGAAGATCTTTTTATATACACAATATTCCCTGCTCAAGAGATAGTAGCATGTGGAAGCAAGTGAAGCAACTGACTGTATTGTTTGTGGCTCTAAATGGTACTATAACACATTTATATATGTCTATCACAAATATTTGTAAAACTGCCACCTAGAGTTCTATCTATACATTTTACACAGCATTACTCTCTTGATTTGGCATTTTGCTCATTTGTTTTGGAATTAATTCTATTTAACTGATTTCAAAGAGAATACTCGGATAAACGTACTGGACTGTTTCCTATATTATTATAGTTCCTAGCAAGTGATTTTAGATGCTCTCTGAGTTTCCTCTGCCTTGCTAACTAAACAAGATAAGATTATGGTGAAACATTCCAATTAGGGGGTAGGATTTTGAAAAATACTGAAGTGATTTCAGAGTACAAGTCCCATCAACTTTCAGTGGAACTTGTGCTTTCAAAAATCCCATCCATGATCCTTTCTAAACTTTGTATGATATGTAACTGGCTGTTTCCACACCAATTTGTTGAATTTTGAATTAATAAGAATTGTATCTTAAATGCATAAAATGATCTGGAAAATAATAAAAATGGGTTATATTCACAGGTTTTACTGTCACAATCTCAACCTATAGAATCTACTGCAAACTGTCATCATACTAAGAAGATAAAAAACCACCTCCAATCATCTATTTAAAAAGAAAACAATTAAAAATGAGCATTTTTATTATGATACTTGTTTTTATACTAACTTCAGGGCAGATCCGCAGGTGGTATAAATTAATTACTTCAGTGAGGCTCTTACAATTTACAACAGCTGAGGATCTGTCCCTTCCTTTCAAAAGAAAATTTTGACACTGCCACTGATTTTTAAAATCAGGGTTCAAGTATTATTCAGAATGTGTCTATATGAATATTTCCTTCCCACCCCCTCACAAAGACTGTTTCACTGGGCTTTCTAAATGTATTTTTAAAACATGAAGATCAATAACACTTAAGTATTTAGGATGATGGCAGGCTGTCAATCTTTTGGACTAATAGAAACTCAATTATTTTGGCACAAATGTCAGAAAGTTATTTTAATGTGAAAGCATTCCAGATAACAATGTCATAAAGATGATAGCAGCAGATCCAACCTACTTCCATTCCTCAAATGTAATGTATCTTGATTGCCAAGGACTTTCCTGAACCCCATTAAGGCCTAGGACTGTAGAAGCAGCAACTAAGGCCACAGTTGGATTTTCAATTTTCTCCTTTATCACATTAAAAATAAACGTATTCCTGCCATCTCATACATGCTGAACAGTTGAGACTGGATGTACAGCTACTTACTTGTTTTCCAAAGCCTTAGAGGCACACTAAATAGATGCTCTAGCACATATCAATACATTCAGTGTTAGGCTTTGTAGATTAGCTAACACTTTCCCAGAATTTAGCAAACATCATTTTATGTCGTTAGCTTAATTCTCACTGCCTTGCATTTCCCATTTTGTGCTGTACTTTTCCTTTGCCTACACAGCTGACACGAAGATTCTTTCTTCCTCGCCCTCTTGCAATACATCTGTTCGCATGCTTTGCTAGATGTTTGCAAGAGTATATACTAAAAGGCAAAGTTACTATCTATAACTGTTTAGGTATTTGCTTCCAGAGATCAATCATTATGGGGATTTGGAGTCCTAGTACCAGGAGCTCTGAGCTGTCTAGAAGGGCAGTCCCTGTTGAGGCCACATAAGTGTTTCTTACTTTGACTGTTCAGATCCCATACAATTCTCCCCCAAGGAGTTCAGTCACAAATTTAATTAATGCATTATTTTTTTAATGAGCACCATCAGCATGGAAGCATGTTCTCTGGAATAGTGGTCAAAGCATCAAGGGGCATATGAATCTTTAGCGCATCTGGCACAAATATCTTGCAACGCCAGCTACATCAGTGCCATGCAAACACCTGTTCTCACTTTCAGGTGACACTGTAAACAAGAAGTGGGAAGTATTATCTCCTGCAAATGTAAAGAAACTTGTTTGTCTGAGTGATTGGTGGAACAAGAAGTAGGACTAAGTAGGCGCTAAAGTTTTACGTTGTTTTATTTTTGAATGTGGTTATTTTTTGTACTTAATTCAACATTTGTAAGTTCACCTTTCATAATAAAGAGATTGCACTACAGTACTTGTAAAAGTGAACTGAAAAATAGTATTTTATTTTTACAATGTAAATACTTTTAATAAAAAATAATTATAAAGTGAGCACTGTACACTTTGTATTCTGTGCTGTAACTGAAATCAATATATTTGAAAAATGTGGGAAACATCCAAAATATTTATATCAATAGTATTCTATTAATGTTTAACAGCGCAATTAATCATGATTTTTTTTTTAAATTGCTTGACAGCCCTAGTTTCTGCTATATAAAGGGAAAAGAAAATATGATGGCATATACCCTGTTCAGGAAAGAGGGCTCTGACCTGCTGCCTCCAGGTCGCCAGCTGCTAGCCCTCTGGCAGCTGTGTACAGGGGGAGATGTGACCTTAAGAGCTTCCCAGTTTCAGCTGGCTTAACCAATTCAGTGTACCCCAACTCACTATGGTTATATTTTGTATATTAAAAGTGTCATGTAAGGTATCATTGGAAAACTAATAAAACTCACTGATATTAACATTCTTGCATGATGTACGTATGTGGCGTATACAAGAAGTTATTAAGAGGACCTTGTGCAGTAACAACAGTTCTTCGAGATGTGTCCCTATGAGTGCTCCACTGTAGGTGCACTTGCGTCATTGCGCTGCTGTTCAGAGAACTTTGATAGGCGTGTCCATTCGGCCTGCACACATGCTGTCCCCTACTCATGCCCTGCCATGAGGCTAACCAGCATGTGCGGGCGAACCCCCACTCAGTTCCTTCTCTACCACAGAGTCCTTGACAAGAACTCCGAAGTAGAGGGGAGGAGGGTGGGATATGGAGCACTCATAGGGACACACATCTCAAAGAACCATTGTTACTGCAAAAGGTGAATAACTTTCTCTTTTTCTTTGAGTAACATCCCTCTGGATGCTCCACTGTAGGCAACTCCGAGCAGTATCCCCATTGCAGGGCCAGAGCTTCAGAGTCAAGTCTTTGGATGACAATACCGTAAAGCCAAAGATAGCATCGGAGGCAGAGTCCCCGGTAATCACATAATGTTCTGCAAAGGTATACTCAGATGCCCAGGTTTCAGCCCTGAAAATTTTCAAGATAAGGACGTTCTTGAGGAAGGCAAC